TGAACGTGTAGATAGAAACAAGTGCAATTTTACATTGTGAATTTAATAAAAATAAAAATAAGCAATAAAATAAAATAAATATAATCTTGTATATTTATCAATTTTTTATGTTTTCAAGCGTAGTTTATAACGCTCGTTTCCTAAGACCCGCCTGGTTTCTCCGCGTAAACTAGATTGCTCTAAATCACCTGTTTTTGTATTTTCAATATATAGCCCTTCATAGCCTTTTTTATGGCTTTAATAAGCTATTAAATTATATAATGAGCTCTGAAAGCCTCTTAATTTCCGACAAAGTTCACCAGCTTGCAAATAACGTTTACAAAGAATGTGAGTTCATAGTCAAGAAGTATGGTGAGGGGTCGGTGGACGGAGTCATGCCTATAATAATTGCAATATTAGAAAACATGAATAAAATTTATTTGGATAAGCAAAAAGTTGAAATGGATTTGGAATTGTTAAGAGTTGATAGAAATGAGCTCATGTTTAACTTGGAGAAAGAGAAAAATTTAAGGATAGCTTCTGATCAAGTATTTTGCGTCTCCATTTTTATTTTTTTTATAGAGGCTTTTAATCCTTGAAGACGACCACTCAGAATCTGCTAAACGTTTAGAGGAAAAGTTTGAAGAACTTGAATCGCAGAAGAGGGATATTGAAATAAAACATAGGAAGGCTAAAGAACATGGTATCTATGTGCTTCTGTTTTTTAAATTTTTTTTAACTATCTTTCTGTTATATTTATTAATTTATTATATGGCGTGTTCATTTTGAAACTCTGGCGGAGGTCTTCTCCATGTTTGCTAAAGGCCCATAGCGTAATACATGTTAATCGAGTGTTCTCAGTGTATTAATTTGGGCACAAGTAAATGAAGCTAAGCCTGATATATATCAAGCAGAAGGACTTTATTTTGTAGGGATTGCTAAAATTCGGTATGTTTTCGAAGATGCAAAATATTTTAAGTGAATCATTTGATCAGGCATTTTATAAAATAAGGCACGAATCAGCTATATATCATACTAGCTACAGCTTTCAATATTTACTCGTTAGCTATTTAACTACAATCTTTAGCTGAGAATTTTACTTTTGGCTGACTTACTTTTTTAAAATTATCCGTATCCAGCGACTAGATTAGAAGAAAAAGAGGCCGAATTAAGAAAAGAGCTTAATCAAATTCACGAACGCTATACTGAGTTGCTCCGTACTCACGTCGATCACGTTGAGCGCTATCAACGATCATTGAAGAACGATTCAATTCATATTCAAGACTCAAATCCTAAAAATCAACAAAGCTTTTGTCTACTAGATCCATCTCTTCCCGATTTTGAATCTTCTAATCGACACGATCTGCCTATTTCTGATGTTTTTGTACCAGATTATACGTTTTCCGCACCAATTACGCAAGCTGGCATAAAAGTAAGCATAGGTAACAAAATATTTCATTAAAAATTATATAAGCTTTATTAGTATGCTTGAGGCTGTCCTAATCTAGTTTATTAGTCGTTATTTAATATATAACTAGGGGTGATTTAATTAAAATTAGCTCTGACTTAAGAGCAATTTCTTACTTGTAAATCTTACAGGTTGGATATAATACCTATTAAAGACACTTTCAACATTCTATCGCTTCCAACCCATGTGGAGGACATTGACACTCATTTTAATTTTTAACTCCGCCTACTTATTACTTTCTATATTCGTAATAAGCCAGATAAATTTGGTATAAACCTAGCGGTCTTACTATCGTTACTAAGTACATAGAATTATCTATTTAAATAGTCGTTAAATATCAAATAAATAGAACTTTTGATCTATCTCTTGGCACATCATTAATTCGCAAATGCAAGTCATACATTCACTTTATATTATGGAATTCATCATTCAGACTCTAAAAGGACAACAGTATTGTTTAAAAATCTTACTTTAAATTAGTTTATATGCTGACTACTGAGAAAATAATCACTGAGCTTAAGATATCTAGCCAATATAGTCGTTGTTGAGGTTTTTATTTTGTTTGCGAGTGCATGATGAAGAGCTT